TAGCCACGTGTGCCAATGCCACGTAAATTTCTGCAATTGCACAATTTCTGGTCATTTGAAGGCGAGGGTACTTAGCGAATTATATATAGTAGGATCTTAGTAGCAGGAGTACAAATCTGTTTTCGTTATGTGCCGAATTCTTCTCCAGAAAGAATTATGAAGGTTTTTTTTTGCCATCCTCACTGTTTAATGTCCTGCCCGAAATGACATGAAGGTTCCCTTGTGAGCAACACGAAAAACTTGAGAAATGTGATTCAATGGAGCTTTCGTAGCGATCTTGTTTCTGGAGCAAGAGGTCACGGGTTCGACTCCAAGCGTGGTTTGCTGGTTAAAAAGGCTTGTCGAATACGTTACTTCATCAACCGTTGATTGCCTATAGCTGCATCTATGAAGAGTTTCCGAGCAGGTCCACAGTTATAGGGTTGCCACTACCCAGACAACAACAACTAAGGTTGATCGATCATGGACTGACAGAAGAGTGGGAGAAGGGGCTTGCACTTGAAAATAATGCCTTGTAGAATATGGGACGGTGCAGACAGGTGAGCCAAACATGTTTTGTCTTTCTTGGAGTTTGTTTGGAAGTTGACTCTATCACGATCCCAGTCTTCGGATAACGCGTTGATGGATGACTGAGTGAATTAAGTTTTCGAAGTCAGGTCAAAAATTGAGAATTGGCCATAAGTTTGCTCATAGGGGTATTCGCGACTCCCTGGCTACAAATATCACACTGTTCGATGCGAAAATAGCTGACGATTAGCTACAGCTACAGCCGCCTAGTTCTAGTCACGAGCGAATGTCGCCCAATAACGTTATTAACTTCTCTCAAATTTTTTGTAAAGGCAACCATATATGTGGCTAGTGATGCGAGTAGTCCTCCTAGCTATGTTGCAGAAAACAGCAAGAAAGCAAGGTCGTCCATGAATCGATCCCACGACCTCTTGTCTCAGAGTCTAGAACACTGCCACTCACTTGATCGCTTCATAATCGTTAAGAGAAGAGTAGCAGATAGTGAAGACAAAATGAGTTCAGTGTTCCAGGGGCTTTTATCAGTATGTATCTTTTCAATTGGCCAAGTCAACTTAAACTTTTCTGGGGCTGTATCCTACCCTTCCCTCAGGCTAGAGACTACAACTTTTCTTTGTCTTTCCAACAGAAATCCTTAGAAACTGCATATTTGTAATGTGTATGTGTGCGGAGTGTGAGGGAACAATGTCTTTGAAAACAAATAAATTTAAAGAATTCTTTTGTTCCCCAAGCCTTAGGAAGGATAGGATGCTGCCCCTTGTAGAGACTTTCAATGGTATTTAATTACGGAAGCCAATTGGAAAATTCCCCCATATGACAGCGCAATCGGTACTCAAATTTGAACCCGGTATGTAGCGACCACATTGACTTATTGCGTCACGGTCACTAACCGCTGAGCCGATCGTACACATCTTAGCAACGCCTAGACCAAGTACTTGTGACTCGTAGACATCAGCTGTGTAGCTAATTGTAGACGGGGCGGACCGCCGTCCGATCTTGATGGCTTGCGCAACGCGTATTGATATAGGCTAAAATTATAGATTCAAAAAAATTGTCTGGATCAGAAAACGAATATCACTCCTTGTACAATTGTAATGTATGTGTTACAAGAACTAAGAGCCGTGGGACTAAGTTGCGACATTCCCCTTGCCCAATGCTGACCTGGCTTGACGCGTGCTAAGACGTATGAACACACCGCACTTCATCAACAAAGCCGAAACAGCAACACGTGGCCGAAGGGTTTAGAGATTGCACCCTACATTTGCTAGTCTCAAAGGATTGCGTTTGTAAACTTTTCAAGAGTCCTCCATTTTCTCCTGAAAACCGGGTTCCATTGGGCCACTTCCATTACTAGAACTTGTGTCATCAGAAGCAAATAACCTCTAATGGAACGAACGGGACAGCACATGCAATTTGCCATTGAACTAATGATACTGCGTGCTAATGCAAACCATAACATATGTGGAAAGACCATCTCGCTTTGATAGGTGCCAGAAAGACCTACACTAGCGAGCAATGTTGAACCAAAGTTGGGCGGAAGGGTGTAATATCAAATGGTGATGTTTACCACGCCTTCGGTCGTGGGATCAAATCCTAGGCCGTCCCCAGTCCACGTACACAAAGCGCTCCATCCCTGTGAGCTCGGCTTATTGGTAGGAAACTTCTCTGAGAGGATAAACAACACTTAACATCAGGTGGCTTCCGCAAAGTCACCATATCTGTCAAATTGCATTCACATTGCCACAACGATTCTATGTGAAAGTACAATGCTTGGCGCATCCCGAAAAAGATTGATAGCACCACAGTATGTTGCACAGGTTCCAAGGTGCCCACAGAGCAGAACATCTGAGATTGAAAAAGAAGAACATTCCCTGGTATAGCCGTCTCGGGCGAATTACCAACCCTTTCAGTCATCCAGGGAATTGCGAACTTTTATTTACTACAGCGATGTTTTGAAACTCACAAAACGTTATTACACTCAAAGAATGCAACCGCCACGGCATCGTTCTACTCACCTTGCAAAACAAATTACTCATGGATGGACTAATGTATTGTTTTCAAACGCCGTCCGTGACGGCACTCAGCACAACACGTTCCCTCAATCGTTAAATAGTGAGGATCACATGACTTCGCATTTGATAGTTCAAGTTTCATTGCTTCGGACGCAATGAAAAAAGCGCTGATTTTGAATCCATTTCTTCATCTCATTCCATAAACTTGCTTTTGATCATGTCCCAGACGAAATCCATATCTGTAAATTATTACTTTTAACTGAAGCAGCGCAAAATAGGGAATAAACAGAAGAAGTTTCAGCAAAGTGGTTGAAGTGTCACGAACCGGAGCGCATGGAACATAGCTGATCTCTCGTTAGCTGGCATTCGGTTATTTTTCCGTTACGTGTGTACCGTAACATGGGAGATGGTGTATTTTCTTCCAACACGATTACTGACTCCAGTGGAGGTTCTACAAAACGTGATGTTAGTTTATGAGTGATAAAATAAATGGTCGAGAGCTGACCTTTTGGGATGCTGTTTTTCACAAATTGCTTCAAAACATCAAGATTAGATGCGTAAACACGACCCAACATCTTGCTGTGCTCTAAAACACGACCAGAAGTTCTCATTTTCAAAATCGTGACAGCTATGGAGAAACTGACATGCCATGAAACTCACCAGGAGGTAAACCTAAGTGTGTGCATTCAGTCTCGAAGTCATCTGTGTCGCATTTGTATGAAGCAGCGTTTTTCATCATAAAGGATATGGAATACAAAAACCTACGAATGCAGAATATATCTGGAAAAAACCGATTATGCCTAGCTGCTTTTCAGGAAAAGAAGCAAAACAAGAAACCCAGATACTTCCGTGCTTTCTCGCTCCCTTCCTTTTCTATGCCCGCTAGTCATTACACACAACAGGCGCGAAATTGTTGGACCACGAAGCAAGAAACAGATCGCAAATCATTTGCAAGGAGTGATCGGACACGCTTTTTCATTATATTTGGTATCAATATTGTCGAAACGAGCGGTTCTCGTTACTAGACATTGTCGCTACCACCCAATTGCTCCTGGACCGAACCCTTTTAATTCAACCAAGACTTTCTGTTTTAAGTTCTGCCTTCTTTACTTGTTAAAAGAATTGCTATTGCATAGGCCAAAAGCACAAGCCAAAGTCTGCGATCCCAAATGTGAACCAAACATATGGAGCACCTGGAACAGATCAATCAGCAAAGGCCTACTCATCTTACTTTTTTATAAAATGTTCCCATAATTCACTTGACCCTACAGGGTCATCTATCATCAAGATGCTCCTCTTAAACATATTTGAATGTATCAAAATAGTACAAAAACAACAAAGGACAATTTCTCAAGAGCGTACCGTTGTGCTCAGATACGAATCGTGCCGAATCACCGTCAGCGACATTCTTGTTAAGAAGAAAATCTACAGACAACTGGCATAATCCTTTGAACTTGACAGATGACTGAAATGAATGAGCTTAAAGATTGATTAACAATTTACTAATTAATAGTTGTCTGAAGCCAGATTCATTTGAAAACTCACCAGACTAGAAAATTCGCTTATCTGAGCGAGAAGCCAATCCGGGCAGTCCTGCCATCCCAAAAATCGAAATTGCTTAATAATAAAAGTTTACGCGATATTACAAGACAGCTCCATAAACTTATGCTAGCTTACCATTTACTCTGCTACTATTCCAAAACCAAAATAAGTACAAGCAGAAGGAACCCCACAAAAAATAATGTAGCGATGGGAGCCTTTTTTTAGCGTCGATAAGAATTAGGCGTGAGCGTGTTGTGTGCAGTTGCGGCCAAAAAATAACGCGTGCGTGGTTTGAACGTGCGTTGGCAATCTCGCTGGCTGTCGTCGGCTGGACGGTTGGTGCTACGAGATGCTCTTTTTGTTTTTGGTTCCTTGTCATGATTCATGGCCTGCTTCGCTTGGTTTCAATTCGACACATTGCTTTTTCTTTGGCTTAGTTCTGATCATTGTTAAACTGTTTCTTATTATCATTTCTAATTCTCTTTTTTTCTCTTTTATTTGCATTCTTTGGCATGAGTCATCGAATTCTTTAGTTTTTGTTTTATTCATGATTTCATCGTTGTATTATTTTTCAACACTCATAGAAATCAATAAGATGGCAAGTGTCGATTTCTAAATGTATGCATTTTCAAACATTTTCAAGAGTACCACTTCTGATATCGAGTTTTGCAGATTTCTTTATTGAATAAGGGTTTTTTCCTAATTGAGCAAAGTTTCGTGTATGTCGTTGTGATTTTTGAATGGCCGCTGTAATCGGGTGGGATGCAGGACACGTGTTCCTCGGCAGCGGGCTAGAATTTCCTGCGGTTCACTCTGGGCATTGGAACCGTGCACCAATTGCTCTGGGTGGTTCGTTGGTCTCCTAATCATCTGAACCTTTCAGCTGAAGCTCGTGAGCGATCAGTGGAGCAGTCCCTAGAAGCTATGGCTGTAGAGTTGTAGCAGCAGTGATTCATAATTCACAGCCTTCTCCTCACAATTGTAATGTAAATTAGCTGCGTACCTCGCTTATCAGGGGCTTGTTGGAGGGATAGGAAAGCAAAGTGGTGTATCTTCGCGGATAATTGAGGATGACCTTGGTTACACTTAATGTTCATGTTACGATGCCCACTTCAAATTCTTTGGTGATGTCCCTGTCCTTCGTATTAGAGCGACATAGGTTTGGTGGAGATTCTGTGCTTTCGCTTTCCTCCCTTTAGAGTTCCAAGAATTCTTGAGAAAAAGATGGTCGGCGTCACGGGGGTAATCATACGTCTTGGAAACTCTCCCGGGCCTCATTTTGGAAGCATATAGCCATGGCCAGTTCTAGCTAGTTTAGAAACGCTCAATGCATTTGAATGAGACGGCCGCAGAAAATCATGAATAAACCCATGAAGAAATGCAGCAGGAATTCAAAGTGATGGACTCTTCAGCATTTCAAAGTGATCGTAGGCGAATTTTCTGGACTACAAAATGCTTAGCAACGTTTAGGTATTCTGGGCAGTGGAGCACACTGTAAAATCTGAGTAATCATGACCTTCAGATTTAGTGTTATAACCATCCCATTGCAGTTCTCCTTTCAATTTTCATGCTGGGAGGTATAACGTTACCAACTCCGGGTCTATTCCAGTTAGGGGGCATCATGATGCAGTTTCTCGGCGACTAATGTAAACTCGAACATTCCAGCTTTTCACGCATGTCAAGTGACTGCCCTCACCCCCCACCCCCCTAGACTGGCTACACTCCCCCTGGCTCGGAGTTACCTAGCTTTTTGGGAGTCACTGCATCATGATGCCCCCCCTAACTGGAATAGACCCCCCCAACTCCTAATCTGACAACTGCTCTGTGGTTATCTTCACCTTTGAGCATCTTTCTTCGCCCTCAGGGGTGTCTCATTGCGCCATTCTTGCGGGCACATGTTTGTAGCTGTGTCTGTAACGCCCGTGCCGCAGCAGAGTAAACGTTGTATATTTAGCAAGGCAGAGATAGATGACCTAATCTCAAATTGTCTCAATTCGTTCAAAGAGAGTTCGCGAAATCAACTCAAACAACAAAAAATTCACTATCTCTATGATTCATCGGCGCCTCTATAATTAGCGTCTCGATGAATCCCACGCAAAACGTGCTCTCCACGCCCGTTAATCTCATATATTAATAGAGAAACAAAATTCCAACCTGTCTCTCTCCCTTCAAAACCTTTTATATCAGGCGAGGCTCGGCAATTTGAAGCGGCCGATCGACGCGGTCACAATTATCTATCTCACTTAACTGAGAAAGTCACAGAAGCCTACTTCTTCCTCGCTAATTTTCCGTGACCACCTCAAAAATTATCCCGACTATCTGATTCTTGTCCGTTATAACGACGATGTTCTACCAAATTCCCCCCTTACCCATTAGTTTGCAAGAAATTAGTGGATTTAACTCTAATATCAAGGTGGAGATGAGTTTGCAATCATTAGGAGAACCATGGACGACTGGGCAGATTACGGATATACTTATAGGGAGTTGTGGCAGGCTCCATGTTAATAGCTATACAGCGGACCCGATTGCGCTCGAGCCAGCGACTCCAAGTGGTGTTGGCCTTCCATTATATTTTGTCGTTGTGCCTATCTTCATCGCTAATCTACCTTCGTAATACTTGAGGTCAGTACACGACCGCAAAAGGAACAATTTCTTCGGCGCTCATCAATATTTTCCACACGTTGCCAGTTGTATTTCAAGACGTTTTTATTAATCCCGTTCTGACGTTGCTTCCTATTTGTACGTATAAAATTTCCCAAATTGGTTCGCTAAGAAGTAGCTCCCAAAACGACCTTTATCTAGACGGCTTCTGCCCAGCCGAAATCCTTAAAGAATTCTGGGCAAACCTCAGGAGGCTCAACTGTTTTCGAAACTAATGACTACCAAAGTCATAAAGCAATTTATGGATTCATGGTGTAGGCACATACAATTGCTGATTACATCCCTCGGCTTTACGTATCGTCTAGTCACATTGGCAAATTCGATTGCGAGTATGCGCATGTGTGTCGAGAGCTTATTCTGGCTGTTATTTAAGGCGTGGAGGCCGGCTAGAAACACTTGAGGCCACTAGTGACGTTCGACAGAATTACACCTCGAGCTGATTCATCGTCGTCGGTCCTGTGCTCCCATTCGCCAAGCAAAGCATGAAATGCCTGTCTATTAAATCAACCGCGTTGCACTCATGTGAACACCCATACGTTAATGGAATTGCCCCGGCTTCCTCTTCAAGCGCGTTAAAGGTAATGAATGGGTATCGCGTAGTCCGATTCCCAAACAAGCTCGATACTGGATTCGCGTTGTCGCTTTTTTAGCTCTACGCCGGGACACGTATTTGGCTCTGGAGAATCGAAGCGAGGGAGCAGGTTAGAGCATGACGCTGTATGCTCAAGCGCTCTGACCTTGAGGCCAATTTCCATACGTTGCATCGGACAAGCACAGCGGACGATGCTCAATGCCCCGGCACTTCGCGCTGCCTGTATATCTTGCAATCACCGTTTGCCTTTTGCAAATCTAGATGTTTTTTTTTGTGAAATCGAACCAAATTTTTGTAAGCAAGTAGAGGAAAGTTCAAGTAAGAGAAAAATGTAACCAATTGTAGAATCTGAAGCCTGCTTTTCAAGCATGAGTGTTCCAAATGCTAGAGAAGGGATTCGTTACGTAATCAGCTGCATAATGAGATGTGAACTTTTTTCCATGAAGTCATTTCAGTCGTCGTTGAGAGTGTGTGTGCTATCGAATAGAAGCATCCTTTTTCGACTCCCATAGGAATTATCGGCAATATAATAAGTAACTTCTCGGTTACCATCTCTGCCTTGCACAATTTCTTCCATGTCAGACACAAAAACTTTGTAATACGACTCACGGTTGATTTCGACATGTGACAGATAGCCGTGAAAGTGTTTCTTTGGCAGCAGCTATAAAAAACGTTCAGGTGGGCATGAAAGGAACCCCGTTTTGAAACCTTCTAATAGTGCTCGTGTTTCTACACAAATTTTAGGCTGTTCTGCAGGTTTTGAGATTTCTTAGAATCCGTGCGACCTATAAATTTGCGCGGTCCGCGGGCGTACAAACGAGTGTGTAAAAACATCTGGGTTAACGATTTGCGACGGCTGGCTTTATCTCAGTGGCTATCACTTCACTTGAGCTCATTAAGCACTGGCTGTGATCAAACAGGAGAGAGTGTCCGCTTATAGAGAATTTTGTGGTCAAAACCAGTTGTGTGCCTCCGCCAAGGTGTTAATTTGACGAGACACTATGACTTGTGGTTGTCCCTTTGTGTAACCCGTGCGTTCGACGGTCAGCGTGAAGAAGAAACCCGTGCCATATCTTTGTTTGAATTCCGCAGCGCTAGCAGCAGAAAACACCGAGTGCCATTGGAAACGGTGCAATGCGCCTGCGCACGCGATGCACTTTACGAGTTTCTCGCAAATTTGGGGCCACACTCCCAATGACACTTTCGTTGCGGCGACAGCCAGTAGGCTGCTAAGCCAATCCTCCTGCAGTAACACTTTCTACGTTGTCGTTATGCATGTTCATTGCCTTCCCTAACAATTCAAACGGCGTATGTCAATAGATGCGTACTGTGTACTCGCGATACCCAGAGTCGAGAGTGTATCATTTCAGAGCGCCGTGTTGTGCTGTCAATGTTCAAGCAAATAAAGAGCGACAGCGGTGTAGTCAGCGGCGAGTGTGTGTGGCGGTGTTATGTGAGGCTGAAAAGGGGCATAGTGGTTGTGGCGGTGAATTCGATCGCGAGGGACCCAAGCCAGTTCGCGTGTGCCTTGCCTCCCTCCCCCGTCCCGCGCGTAGCCTGCGTGAAGGAGAGTATCGATCTGGGCGTTTGTGAGTACAAGCTGGTGTGGCTTCGCTGCTCTCCAACTCTGCCCTCCATCTCCATCAAGCTTCTTTATTACCATTGCTTCGCTCATCGAGACAGCTGTTTACGACATCCGGCGCTGTTGTTTGCACGGTACTACGGCGATGAGCCATAACTTCCCACCGAATCCTTCAGCCCGCGTTCTCAAATTCCTCCGTCCCTCAGCCAAAACAACTAAGTATGCCGTGAAACGACAGCTTTGTTACTTCCCACAGAGCGTGTTGTTCGGTGCGTGCCTTGTTTTCGATGTGATTTTCGCGTTGCCTTCAGTACTACTCGCTTGTTGATGAGTCCTCGTGACTCATGTCCTTCATCTTCACACAGCGATCGAATCTCTACTAGCTGTTGGTCTCATCGCCATCACGAATCGCGTTGCTTCTCTCTACGTTGCTGATTGCATTATCCTCGACTGGCGAAAGTGCTATAGCCTCAGAAATCCAGTGTCGTTAATCTTCCCTGCACGTGAGATACGAGACGCATTGGCCGTCGTATTTCGCGATTGTAAAGTGGGATATTTTTTTGAATGGTGACGGAATCAAAATGAATAATGTTTTCCTGACGTGTTTCGTATGCCAAGGTCACAACGATTTTGGCCTAGATTTCGTCTACGTTCGCTGTTACTTCAGTATTTCTTGACTTTTTTTTTGAATTTGTTCACAAGTGAGATCCTTTTGAGGGATTAATAAGCATCTTAACCTTAGGAATTGTTTTGGAACAAAGTTGAAACGCATCGGTTCTCTCATCCCCTGACCAGCTTACCAATTAAAGAGCATTCGAATTTCGCAAACACGGTAATTGTATTACACAGCAAACTATTCGACGGTTAGCTGTATGTCTTTTGTTCAGTTCCAGAAGCCCTGCTTGGGCTTCACGGGTCAGGTGGATATCCCAAAATAAGTGTTTTTGCTTCTGATGGCATGTTGCGTGGGGTCAACAACACCCATGGGAAGTGTTGCCGCTGAAGAGTTCATCCGTCGCATGCATGCTTCCGAGATGTGATAGAGTGTGCAGGCGGCGCCAGATGTGCGTGGTTTTTCATTCGAAAAGTGTAAACTGACTGGCAATATTCCGCGTCTTCTGGCCTCGGTGTTGATACGTTTACTGAAATTTTTTTCTGTGAAATTTCGACGGACAAGCTGGTCGAGTTCATCTTCTTTTTTCGAAGGCT